AAATCAATGCTGAATTATATATATTTGTTGTAAAAATTAAATTGAATTTTGGTACTACATTTATTCTACGTATGTAAAATTCTTCACTCATATTTTCTTTATATTTTTCTCAAAGATACTTTTGATTGAATAGCCAGGAAACATCTATAGTTGAGCGTTTTCTTTAGGTCTTAGACATGCGTTTGACAAGGTTTAAAACACAGGCCTACTGTATAAAATAAAATAATGTTTGATGTAAAAATAAAAAGATGCACGTTATATTATCTGATAAAATCTTATTTACGGAATAGACAATTCTTTAGGGTCGCGGACACCGAGTCAAACGCCATTGAAATATGTTCAGGTATGCCGCAAGAAAGTGTTCTTGCTCCAATATTATTAATCACTGCGAATTTAATAATTTTGATCTTCAATAACCGAAGAACGATTTGTGTTTTGGCGGCTGAAAAGTCTCGAGGATAACTACTGAAAAACACATTTCTTTGAATTTCTTTTTCTTTTTTTCTTCTTTTTCTTATTCAGCATAGTTTTCTTTGAGGATAATGTACCGATTATAGTGAACTTCGAACATTTTGAAATCATTTTTGTAGTACCTAAGTAAGTATGGTTTGTACTTTGCCACAAAATTTGGTGAAAATCTCTTCATTCGGCAAAAAATTTTACAGCGAGCAGCATCCTTGTGAGATCTGAGAATAGGATTTGATCACTGGGAAACAAATCTAAAGAATATAATAAGTAGGGAAGCAATTCGTACCCCTCCAAGTCATGTTTTTGCCACTGTTTTCACGGATTTATAACTTTTGGTGCGTTGTCTTGATGAAGCAGCACTTTTTTCTTTTTCAAATAATGCCGCGTTCCCGATTTTGATGTTCAAATTATTGATTGGCAATAAATCTATGCAAAAGAACCTATTTAGCACCAAGATTTTTCCTAATATTCGCGAAATTGATAGCGGAATCATTATGGATATTAGTGTCAGCTATCTCAGACAATTTGCTTTTCGATTTTCCAAAACGTTTTGGTTCTGCATAGTCAGTGTCCGTGTTGTCTCAATTAAAATCAGCGAATCACTTATAAAGCGATAATTTGGCTGTGATAGTATTTTACCCATCAAAAAGCAATGACAAATCAACACACGAAATTGCTTTGAATCAGCGGTTTTGAAAAACTCACAACTAGCTTCTCTTGAACCTCTGTAACTTGCAATCTAATCGTCGGATTGTCATGAAAATTTGACAGGTTTCATTTAAAGGTTGGTACGTCCTAAAAATCATATGCATTTTTTGTTAGTAGAGCCACCTGTGTGTCAGCCTCGGGACTTTTTAGCGATGTAATAGATCAAATTTTCAAAATATACGATTTGCTTCTCAATAGGAAATCAGAACTTTCGGCCAACAATAATCTGCTAATAAAAGAAACTCTAATTAAGCCCGTGTGTATTGAGGCTTCAACTTTGGGACACTGCCAAAAATATCAAGTTGAACATCATTCAACACGCTCAATACAAAATCCTGAGACAAATCATTAACGCTCCATGTTATACATCAACATGCATCACACATCAAGTCACCAAGATGCTCACCAATAGTGAACAAACTGCATTTGCTGCTTCCAATTACAAAAACAGAATCGACGTTCATAGCTGGCCAATGAGTTAGTTAGTTAATCAGCAAAATTTACCCCGTAAACCAGTTTACCAGACTAAAACGCAAATTACCCAATGAGACCATGCGATTTTTTTGTATTTATTTGCCATTATATTAGTTTTCTTTTGTTTTTATACTCCTAGTATATTTTTCGCTCGGCCTATTCGAACTAGGAAAATTCGCAACACAGAATATAAAAAATATTTGTTTGAAAATGAAAAATTTAATTAACAAAAGCTCAGTAACAACTATTTTCAGTCAAATTTTAAAACAATATAAAAATCAATAAATATTTGAACATATTTAATGATATATAATAAATATTAGAACTGGATATATGTCTTCATTCAACAAGTTCTAAAACATCGTGCAATTTAAACAGTTTACAAATAATTTCTAAATATTGCGTAAAGACTTAGAAATTAGTGTAGACGTTACGTACCTACCGTCAACCAAAACAACGTTGCCGTAACTCCCGCTCGACATAACAAAAATAAAATTAACAAAAAATCACAAGATTGGACAACAATTCGTTTAAAAAAAAAACAAAAACGTGATAAAGCCTATGATACGTCGCGCTCAAATAAAACAACATCTGCTGATTACTGGCTAAACCAGACGCCAACAAAAAATTATTATGACGTATTAGCAAAAATCCTGACACACACTTCTGTCTAAGGCTTCCTATACTTATTAATTGAAAATTATCCAAGAAAAGCTCAATATTCGATTATTTAATGTGTTTTTTTTATTTTTTTTATTCAACAATATATTTACAACTGTCCTACATAGACATTAAGTAAATCTTTTGGCAATTATATATAAAAAATGACATTGATATTTAAATAGTGAAAAATACACAGCTGCATTTTTCTTTATAAGAAGTAATGTATATTAACGAGTAATTATAAGCTAATTAAATCATTAAATATTTTCCTTTTGAGTTTTCGTGTCGTTTTTGTGGATAGCAGTTTGTTGGCCAACTCGTTTGGATATTCTTCGAGTCTGTTTTTGTGATTAACAGCGAATCTTTTCATCATGTATCAGTCAGGTGGAAGTATATTCTGGGGCGCCTAGAGCGAACCTAAGAACTTTGCTCTGAAACCTTTGAACGATGTTAGCATTACTTTTATATGTGCTGCCCCAAAGTGCTATGCCATATGTCCAAAACGGCTTAAGTACAACCTTGTAAACCAGTAGTTTGTTGTGTACAGAAAGATGGGATCTCCCACCCATTAACCAATATAGTTCACTTAACTTTTTCTCAAGCTGTTGCTTTTTCTTTTTTATGTGAATTTTCCAATCCAGTTTGCGGTTTCGGTGCATGTAGGGACTTCTATTTTATTCACAGTTACAGGTGGACATGTATTGTGTTTGAGTGTAAAAGTGATGTGGGATGATTTTTGGCCATTGATCTCTAGCCTCCACAGTTTGTACCGTTTTTTATTGATGTTAAGTGACGTTGAAGTTGCTCTGAAGCAGTTGTGGAATTTTCATGCAGCAAATGAAGCTATGTCTGTCAGGTGAAGTGAGAATGTCAGCTGTAAAAATTAAAAACAAAATTGGGTCAAGAACACTGCCTTGGGAAACGCCTGATTTTATTATTTTAATAGGCGAGTTCATGCTGAGAATGTTTATGCAGAAACTTCGGTTTGATATGATTTTATCCATAGAAATAGGTCATTGGGTAAAGTATTTTTATATCTTATATAGAAGTCCTGTTTGCCAAACTTTATCAAATGCTTGTGTGGTGTCTAAGAATAAAGCTGAGCAATATTTCTTTTCTTGTAGAGTTTCGTTAATCTTATGCACTCATCTGTGGGTTTGTTCAATCGTTGAATGCATCTTTCTAAAACCGAACTGATGACAAGGAATTGTATTATTATTGTTCAATGTGACAAGAATTCTTTTAAGCAGCAATCTTTCGAGTATTTTGGAAAGGATGGGTAAAAGACTTATTGGTCTGTATGATGTTGTATAGGATGGATCCTTGCCAAGTTTTGGAATCAAGATAATCCTAGCTCTTTTCCAAGCTTGAGAAAAAATTTGAAGTCTACATATCGAATTTGGGGAGGAATTGTCAGAAACCTTATAGACTTTGGTGAAAGGTGTTTCAGCATTTGCATTAAGGTCTTGTCTTATCCTGGTGGTTTACCTGATTTTGAATTTGTTATTTTTTTTGACTTCTGATAGGGAGAAGCGGATTGACGGAACTTGTGGTACTGAAGGCATGTTACGAAACCCATGCTGAATAAATTCTTCTTCGTGAGAACTGCAATTTTGGGGCGGACATTGAAAAACTTCTTCAAAACAGTCGGCAAAGTAGTTGACCTTGTCCTCATCAACTCAGCCCAGGAGTTGTTGGCTTTTTTAATTGGTACCGTTTGAGCGACTAGTTTTTCAAAGCGAGTAGTTAGTATCTTTGGTAGAAGTTAAGTGTTTTAATTTTTCTTCAAAAACTTGGTTGTTAAAGTTCCGGAGCATGAATTTCAACTCTTTGCAGGCTCTGTTAAAATTAGATTTATCTACCGGTGATCGGGTGGTTTGCCAGATTTTCCTTTGTCTTCTTTCTATTGCGATTTGCCGTTTGATTGAAGTTGCGCAATTAATGTGTTGAATACCAAATTGTCTATAAAGTACAGTCAAAAAGATACAAAAAAGGGTCTAACTTGTTTTTTCTTACTGTGAGTCGATTTGCATGAAATTTTGGAATGAAGCTTATTTTCAAAAGTGTAAATCATTTGGGGGTTAATGAAAAATTAACATTGCAGGAATGGGTGATATTGTAAATTGTTTGAATATTGCATGTGTGAAATTGTAAAGTGTTTTTAACACATTTACCTTATAGTAAAACCGTTCAAACCTTTGAATAATTTACAACCTTTACACAACCCCTAAATTCAAAAATTCACAAAATATTTTGGTATGACATGAAAGGATAGAGTAAATGATATTTGAAATTCTTTATTTCAATTATAGAATTTGAGTTCCTTTTCAACCTTTAAAAATACAGCTCATTAATAAAAAAAATTATTATATTATATATTATAGTTTATTAATATGTAATTATTTTTCATATTAATTGCGTTTGTTTAATTTCAGATCCGATACTACGCTTCGCCAAAGTGTATTTCAAAGTTCATGAATGTTTCAAAATTCAAAACATTCATTGCAAGTTCGATTTGTTAATAGTGAGTGTAGTAAAGTGATAGTGAAGACTTTGTTGTTGCACATTTGTCGTTTTATGAGTGCTTTTGAGGTACGTTTCTACTAACCCAACTTAATTTAATGACGTTTGTGTGAATTCAGAGGAGACTAGACATTTATATAAAGTTTCGCATTTCCATAGGAAAATTTTCAATAATATTTTAACATGGAAGTTGACATCAGTGAGGATTTGAAACATTTGCATCTCTTGACTATTAAATTTACGATAGGAAATGATTCCTCAATTGCAAACGATTTATGTGATGTCATCAGAAACATAGATGAAGACACTCTACTTTTAGTCAAGCCTCATATCTTGATGGAAATTTGCAAATCTTTAAAGCTCGCAAACAACTCGGATCGGAAAATAGAATTAATTAAAGTAGCAAAAGTGTTATTGGATAAAACACCAGGAGGAGCTCTTCAACAGGGAGGTTTTTTTAATGTATTGTCAGGTGTAATTTCTTCAGATATAAAACTAACTTCCGAAGAACTTTTTGTTTCTGCTTTAGATTGCTTGTTAGTAATAACTACAAAATGTCCATTAGATATAAAGCAATGTATGTTTATTAAGATGAATGCCCCATTTTTGGGAAAATCAATTTATGCAGCTTCCCAATTGGCAAGAAAACATGCTTCTGCTGAAATAAAATATTTGGCTTTGAAATTCATTTCATCAATTTGCAATATTGATGATTGGGATCTAATTGCTACCGAAGCGCAACAAGAGTTTAGATCTAGAATAGCGGAAGTATTAATGTTTTTTTTGCCAGGCTTAGTATCAGCTTGTCAAGAAATAGCTTTGCAAAACATTAAAAAGCAGCATCGGGTAACAGTGATAGCATTGCAAATTTGGGGTCGTGCGATTGCTATAGTAATGGAAGATGAGAAAAAAACTGAAAATGAGGTGCTAACAGCAAATGATTTTCTAAAGCTTGTAAATCCCGTGCAAGTTCCTGGAGAAAAATCGGCAAAAGACTGGTCAAAAGCTGGAAAATCAGATCTCATAGAGTATCTTAATGAGTCAAAACGTTCAACAAAATGGATGCAAGAAGCTTCTTCTAAAATTGCTAAACTATTTCCGCATTTGACTCCGATAATTACTCATGAACACCCCGAGGTTAGGTTGATGCTTGTATCATGCTGCGAACTCATACTAAAATATGCTTGGAATAATTGTGGGATTTGCAACTCTGATTTATTGGTAATATTATTTAGTTTATCCAGAGATGAAAACCAGAAAATTGCGCAAGTCAGCGAATCAATTTTACAGAGCATCATAAAAGAAAGAGGTGCTAAAACTGTCGTGCGAGTTATTGAAGGTGTTTTACATAAACGGATCTCTGACATACCAAATCTAATCAATACGATTGACGAACGCGCCCTTATGTCCTCATTAGACTTTCTTATCGGAGTTTCAAGTTGTTTAGGTAAATTAGCTGACGAAATTTTTACTCTTCAAACGCAAGAGCGTTTATTAGATGTGCTGACAGTTGTTATTCAAATAGACATAGCTGCCGTTTCTTTAGATGAAAGTACGTCAGAATTAGTGCTTTTGTCAGACAACGTAAATCATTTATCTATTAAAAAGTTGCCCCCATTTTGCCACATCTGTGATAATGATAAAGAAATCCTTGAAAAAATTGAACTATTATGTTCTTATTTAGGTTCTTGCAGCGGGACATATTTAATTGACATTTTATTTACTCGCATCGAGCACATGGTTAATACTTTAGAATCAATAATTTTATCAAAATTTATTCTAAAAAAATCGGGTAGACAGTTTTTAGAAATTTGCAATAGCATGCTCAATTATTGGCAATATTATAACATATGGTATTTACCAACCGATATTAAAGTTGATAAATCACATGGGCTTGACTACAACAGCTGGTATTACTCAGATCGTACCCAGGGTTATATGAAGGAAGCTTGGAAATCCGGTATACCGACATGTCCATCACAAATGACGATGAAAACAAAGATCAACTTTTTTCTGAGTTCTGTAAAAATTTACATGAAGTAAAATATAATACATTGCTTATAGCTTTGCAGTGTGAAGCCGTGGGATCTATGGCCATTGTAATGGGAGAGGACTTCAGACATTTTTTTTTGAAATATCTGTATCTAATTATTGAAAGATGCGGCCATCGCAGACAATGTATTCGAAATTCCGCTTTTTCCGCTGCTAAAGATTTGCAAACATTTTCGAAAGTTGGTAGTTTTTCTGAGCTTATAGAGGTTAATGCAGATTACTTAATAAATAGCATATCTGTTAAACTCAATCACATAATACATTATAATGCTCCTAATACTGGAGTTCTAGATGCTTTGGTGATAGTGATAGAAAATTGCAAGAATCCGAAGCATTTGAGGTCCTTTGCCGATGTTTTAACAAAGTTGGAGGAGTTGGATTTTAAGCAAAAAGATGTTATCATTAGTTTACTGAAGGTGTACAAGGCATTTGTAAAACAATTAGCTCTTGTCCATAGCACTTATTCTGTGGCATCTAAAAAAGTAGAGCCATGCAGTACTAGTAATCTATTGCATTCTATTAAAGAGCTGCAACAGGCTATTCAAACAGAACAAGATGAAAATATGATAGATGTTGAAAATTTTAATGAATCTGAAGCTTATGAACTTACTTCAGATGCATGTATGGAAGAAGATGTTGAAAAAAAATTACCACCAGATCACGTTACTTTGGTATCCGCAATTTTAAAACGAAGCATTCCATTTGTATCATCAGAAAATAATTATCATAGATTATTATCATTAGATATAGTTCATGCCGCATTGCCGCTTTTGTCAGAGCACGAAGACACCTTATTACCAGCCCTTCACGAAATTTGGAACCCAGTAGCATCGCGAATGAGAGGAAGGACTGATGCCGAATTAAGCGTTTTAAGAAAGTCGTTTTCTGTAGCATGTGCGCTAGCCTCCTTTGGGAAAGATTTCTTGAGGCAACGAGCAATCGGCAGTGTTTTGGCTAACGCATTGAATTTTCTGTTATCAAATGCTCAGGAAACTAAATCAAAAGCAGAATGTTCTGAAGCATATAGGCATACTCAAGTATTCAAATTGCAACTTGAGATACTTTCAGGTTTGGGAGAACTATGTTATAACCTCCAGTTTGGAGAAAAGACCAGGTTCGAAGTTATGGCGGCTATATATAGATATCTTCATGAGAACGCGATTTCGGAGTTACGAGAAGCTGCCAAAAATGCATTTATCAGGATGGCAAAAGATAATCCTGCTGATGTAGCACATTTTTTGGCTACAATTTGGCCTTTGCAAACTTTGTCTTGTGATTTGGAAAGTTTTCATTTGCAAAACTTTAGTACCAGTGTATTAGAAATAGAAAGAACAATTTACGAAAGCTGGTGAACTTTATATTCAGTCTCCTTGGGATTCACATAGCGCAACGTAGGTTAATTTTTAATATTAAATTATAAATACAAATATTTAATACTCACTTTTTTTTGTTTCTAGGTTTCCGGAATTATTATACCGAGGCAACTACATAAATTCCAGATAATATAACATTTAATGATATACGTCTTGAATAAATATTCTCGATGCTTTAAAAAATTCTTTTCTTAAAATATTTTTATATCTACGAGTATTTTGTGGTAAATCTTACTGTATTTAATCAAATTAGGACTACTCAAATTACTCATGCTAAGTACTAGTACTTTTAATAGTTTTTTTAATACTCAAAAAATTAAGTTATCTTTTATAAAATATTGCTAGAGTTTATTTATTATATAATACAATATCTAGTTTAAATGTAAGATGTTTGTATATTATTATGTGCTTAGACTTGTCTTGAACAATGACGTAATAATATTTATATATAATTAATCATGAATGATATCACAATGAAATATAACTCATGAAAATAAACATAACAATGACATAAAATTATTGTTATCAACCTTGCAAGGCTGTTGATAATTTATAGCTATTAATTCCATAGGAATTTAAAAATGACTCAATAATTTTTAAACAAACTAATATTATAAATAAAGGAAAATAAAACTCGAATTATGATTGATTGAATTAATTTATTGACGTTGATCAATGCGGTGAAAATTTGTGTTTAAATTAAGCGCTGAAGCTTATGTGCACAAGATATTCATGAAAATGGATGAAAATTCGAGGCACAGTAGATCAGGACCTGAAAGTCCACAATCACCATTGCTCAGAGCAGGCTTAGAGCAAAATTCACCTGAAGCTTGGCAGGAGCGATGTATGGAACTTCAGATTGAACTTCATAGGACCAGAAGTCAAGCCACAAGGGTTCGAGATATGCTCCGTGATAAGGTAAGTTTTTTTATATTCAATATTTATTATCATTTACAGTAATTATTAATTTTTTTTATAATTGGCATGATATTATTAATAAATAATTAAATAACATGAAGCAATAAACCTTCTTAAAATTGTCTCTATTAAATATTTAACCCTCCGAAAGAGAAGGTTATCTCGTGAACCAAATTTCAACCTATCTAAACACAAACCAAGAGATTTTTATTTTTTATTTTTGAAGTAAAATTTCTTTAGGCGCGACATGGGTGTAAATCCGTACAAATGCAACGGAAATGAGTTACGGCAAGGTCAAGTGCCAATGATTCGTCATTCGCTTTTGACGATATCTCTATACGGGTTCGATTGTGATTGGTCGTATTTATGCGAGGCTTCTTGGTATGCGTGACTTTATACGTGCGTCGTATTTGTGCGAGTCTTCTTTGTATGCGTGACTTTATACGTGCGTACGTCACCGAAATCGCGAAGCATATTGTTCATTTATCGGTGTTTAATTTTCATTTACCAAGTCATTACCTTTTAAGGTTAAATATTAGTACAAATCTTAAGTTAATAAAAAATGTCTGGATCGGAAGAATATTTATCCCGTCCCCCATAAATAATTATAGTGCGAATAATAAAGCAAATGAAAAATCTGTGCCGTTTAAGACACGTAAGTTTATTGAAGTACTTTTCATTATTCGTGGTTACTATATATTTTTGAGGTTATTAAAATGAAAATTATGTTTATACACAAGACAGATACTACAACTGTTCAAAGAATGAAACTGTATCGCCAGCGAAAAACTATACTAGTGAGGTGTATGGCATCGTGCCTCAAGGCAAATTGCTGGAACTTCCCGTAGTGTAACGAAATGTTCGAGGAATATTACATGTTTTCAAATAAAATATTTTAAATATTGAAACACTGTCTAATATTTATAAGAATTATATAAACTGAATTGCAAAGTTGAAATTATTTTATTTAGTATATTAGAACTTTAGTCAGAGTTAAAAATAAAATCTGAACGTTGCATATCGAAAATAATTCAAACACATTTGCTAAAAAACTAGATGGTTTTGAAACTGATGAACCTATTTGGTTCTAAAAAATGTCAAATTTTTATTGCCATACATTATTTACTTAAATTTGAAATGTTAAAGCAGAGATAGAGGTTTGGAATATATAATCGAATTGTAATATTTGCAATTGTTATAATGCAATGTAATGCAAGGAAGATGATTGATATGATTATATTTTTAACTTCCCGTAGGGTAAGTTATTGTAATGGGCCGAAAATCGGAATTGAAAATTTTTACATTTCTCGACGTTTTGAAGGTTTCTGAACGTTTTGGCATACCTCAGAAAAATGGATGTGTGTGGTGTGTGTGTGTGAGTGTGTGTATGTATGTATGGATACAAATTTTCGCCCACGTTTTCGGGCGTACGGATTATTACCGATTTGAATGGTTCAAAAAACATTCGATTCCTATTGATAGGGAAAAGAGCTGATTAGTTTTTGGCAAAGGCAGGTCCAGCCGTTTCGGAGATACGGAGCAAAGAGTGCAGAAAATAGAAATCGAATTTTTGAGAGAACGGAGAATCCAATTTGAATGATCTAAAAACATTCAATTAGTAATGATTGGGAGAAGTGTTTATTAGTTTTTGGCAAAGGCAGGCTCAGCCATTTGAAGATACGGAGCTAAATATGTAAAAATGGCAATTTTGAGAGAACTAAGCGTCCGATTTAAATGATTCAAAGAACGTTCTGCTTGTCTTAACAAAATAATTGATTTTGGAAAAAAAAAATTGTTCAATTTTTTTTTTTTTTTTAGTTTTTGTATATCGAAAATATTCAGATTTTATTTTTAATTCTGACTATAGTACTAATATACTTTACAAATAATTTCAACTCTGCAATTCAGTTTATATAATTTTATAGTATTACACAATGTTACAATATTTATAATAATCTATTTGAAAACATTCAGTATTTCACGAACATTTCGTTACGGTACGGGAAGTTCCAGCAATTTGCCTTAAGGCACAATGCCATAATTGCCTCAAGACAGAATTCCACTTACAGCTAGTTTATTTTTAAATTTTAAGCGCAATACATGACGGATAAATGTTTTTTGGCAATAACGTTATTTTGTGAATTTATTATAAACTGTTGGTATTTTGCATTGAGGCAAGTTACATGAGCTTCCCTATATGTGTAAATAATCGACTTAATCATTAAAAACTAAATTAGTTTATGAGTGCTTAAAAATATTGCGAGTGAATTTATTACACATAATTGAAAAGGAACGAACTCGTTAACTTCTAATATTTTCTAAAAGCAATTTATCACAAATAAACAATTTTTATAAATGAACCAGTTTCCGTAGGACTTTAATGGTTTAATATATGTTCATTAAGACCAAGTACTCTGTCGTTATACCAAGTTTATAATTAGCCTTATTGTTTAAAAAATTGTTTAATGTTTTATTTTTCTACAAGAATACTACAAAAACTTATTATTACTTATTTTCAGTAATGAAAACATAAAACAAGACTGCTCGAGCTGACAATGAATAATGTTCAATGCTTGTTTCAATTATTAAACATCGAATTTGTGTTTTTCATAATGTGCAATAAGTATAACCTAGCTTTGATTACGACAAATATTGATAACTTGACAAAAAATCGAATATTGTCCAGAAGAAGAATAGAATCCTATTTGGCTTCGAAATCTTACCGACACTATATTTGTCGAAATGTATAGGTTCTGATAATGCACTGAACGTTTATGTAAATCACATGCGAGAGTACTTCGGAAGGGCTCTATAAGTCACTCGTAAGCTCTTGAAAGTTAATATAGGTTCTCCAAGCTTTACTTGGAATATGCGAACGATTTGACTAAGACCTTGAAAAGAAATTCATGACTTTTGCCTATATCGTAGCGAACAAAAATAAAATTGCAAACGCTTTTAAATAATTGATATTGAATTACATTACTGTAATTTTAAAAGTAGATTAAACTTACTTTATTATTTATTAGGTCGATTGTTTACACATAATGCCTCTTTTACCAAGTTTGTTTTGTATTTCATTAGCTTTGCATACCTCAGAAAAAATGGATGTGTGTATGCATGTATGTGTGTGTCCTGTATGTCCGCATTTTTTCGTTCACGTTACGGCACGGGAATTCACCACTAGTATGATTTTTTTTGACGATAGACATCATGGTCTTCTAGATCATACTAAAATATTACGACCCGACGACAAGGGGTTTTACTTTGAAAATTTGTCAAAGTTTTAAAAAATTAGTCGCGTTTTTTTTTTGGCGTTTCGACGTTTTCTTCAAAACGCCTGAACGGATTTCAAATTTAAAAGCCATTTGATTTATATTGACGAGGAACATCGTTGTTCAGTTTTGTGCGACGATCGGTCGAGCAGTTTTTTTGTAATTGGCAGAAAACTGTAAATTTTTTCGTCCACTTTTCAGCTCACAATCCTGAATCTATTTTAAAAAATCAAAAGCTGTTCGAAAGATATTTGTTGGGAACTGATTAGTTTTAGGTAAAAATCTACCAGGCCGTTTCCTTGTAATAAACTGTTCAAAAAAAAATTGCCAATTTTTATGAAACTTTTTATGTTGATAGATATCATGGTCATGGTCGACATACTAACATTTTACGTTTCTATGGCAAGTAGTTCAATTTTGAGAAATCATCAAAATTTGAAAAAAATACTATAGTCAAAATTTATGTCGAAAGTTGCATTTGTGATGTGATGAGTCAATTTTCTTCAAGTCTATTATCAATTCATTAAAATTTAAAATAATAAGCTGCAAATTTAGGGCATACAAGCACGTCTGTGCAACATAATTAATATAATTACAGTTAATTTAATTTGAAATCGCAATGTTTAGATTTAATTGAAAGCGATAACTTTATTTTAAAAAAAACGGTTGAAAATTTTATCTAAATATTTAAATTTCAATTTCGATTGATTAAATTAATTCTTACACATTTCGGGAAGTTCATGCAACTTGCCTTATGGCTAAATGCCTCCTTGAACTAGTTTCAATTTTCTTAACAATGTAAATATTTTCCCGTGCAATTCTATACTCTATTTGTAGCTTTCGAATGATTTTGAAAGTATTTTGAAATCATTTTTGTAGAAAAAAAATAGTAAGTACATATAGTACATATAAAAAAAATAGTAAGTACATATAAAAGAAACTAGAAGAAATATAATAATAGAATTTAATGCAATTACTAAGAATCTGAATTTGAAAAATCATCAGTCAGCTAATACTCAGTGTAAATTATATTATGTTATACTGCATTTTTTATTTATTAATTTTAATACTTAAAGTAAACGTAATGGTCAATATTCTATAGTCAAGAATATCTTTTTCATAAAGCATATTATTTTTGAATTTTGAATATTTGATTAAAATCCATAAGCTTTTTATAATTGCTATTTTATTTGTGAATCATTTTATATTTACAAAAAATACATTACAATTTTTATTTTTTTCAATCAGTTCTTTACTGATTCGATTTCAAATCTTGAATTATTTTTGTATAAATGAGTCTTTCGGCATTTCTCGCCCAAAGAAAGTCTGTATGTGTAAATTTTGAGTCAGGAACTTTATAAATTTCTATCACATTTATAAGATCAGGTCATTCTTCATTCAGCGCTCGAAGCGAACACATCGATTATACAATACCTGAGTACAATCAACAAGCATAATAAACAGCATTTATTTAGTCACAGTTTAGTGTAGTGTTTGATCTAGTAAGTGACTTTACTTGTGAATTCAGTGCTTTTAATTAAATATAGTGCTCCCGTCAGGGAGTACTATAAATTATCACTCCACAATACCAATTGTGGAATCATTTAACATCATTCACGAAGACCAAAATAATTCTACTCAACTAGTTCTGAACCAGATGACTACAAAAGAAATAACGATGATGCAGTAAACAGATCAACATCGTCGGATCCAACTCCCATTCCATCAACAAGTAATTTGTCTTCAATAGCAACAATGGATCCAGAGTCCACTGCACGCGATGTGATTGATTACACGAATAAAACCCATGGCAAGAGGTAACTTCCGCTAAAAGACGTCGCCCGAACAACGCAGTAAGTAATGAAAGCGTTCCCATAAAATTAGCCAACAAATTCAGCGCTCTAGAAAACAAAGTTTCTAAACCATCAGACGAGGCAACAGATAATAAAAAATCTACTCCTCCGCCTTTATTTGTCTACGGGGTTCGAGATTACAATCTTATGATAGCGGATTAATTCAATTTAAAAAAACAAATACATCACTAAATACCTACCCAATAAAACTATTAAATTCAACATTTTTGAAATAGAAGACTACCGCAATTTTGTTAAATTTCTGCGTGAAAGAGACGTCGTTTTTCATACCTACCAGATAAAAGCGGAACGCTCATACAGGGTTGTACTCAAATATCTGCACTACGCCACAGATAAAAATGATATTAAAGCCGCAATTGAAAAAGAAGGTCATCCTGTCAGAAATATTACTAATATCATACATCCGAAAACTAAACAATTGCTGAACATGTTTTACATAGACTTAGAACCCAAAGAAAACAATTCGTCAATTTTTAAAATGAATAAAATGTTAAACCAAATAATTCATTTTGAGCCCCCATAAGATCATCTAATATTCCGCAGTGTGTAAGGTGCCAAATGTACGGCCATACCCAGCGTTATTGCAACCGCAGATTTATATGTGTAAAATGCGGCTCTGATCATGAGTCTAAAAAGTGTACAAAAGCAGCTGAAGCCCCGCCCCTTTGTTATCATTGCGGCGATAATCATACCGCAAACTACAAAGGGTGTTCTTACTACCTTCACCTTGTCGGTGCAGATAACGATCAAGCAACAATAGGCAGAAGTAACGGGACTTATTTACACACAAATGCAAACCGGTACAAATCCAACCTTCACAACAATAGAATTTCTCAGTACGCAAATCCTCAGCATATGTCTTATGCTCAGGTAATAAAATCGCAATCAAACCTATTTAACAACAATCAAAATCACATTAACAACAGTAATTCTCCATCGATGTCTGATTTCCTGACTGAATTTAGAAATATGTTTAGCCAGTTAATGGAACAAAACACCATGATTGTCAAAATGTTATCAACATTAATCAACATTAATAAAGCTAAATAATGGCTAATATTTTAAACTTAGGATTATGGAATGCTAACGGCTTGTATCAACACAAAGCCGAAGTAGAATTATTTTGAGACAAACAATATCGACATCTTTTTAATTAGTGAAACACACTTCACCAAGTATTCAAACTTTTATATACCAAATTACAAGACATACTTCACTAACCATCCCGATGGCACCGCACATGGTGGGACTGCCATTATTGTAAAATCTAATCTTCTTCATTACGAACTGGATAAATACGAATCTGAAATTTTGCAAGCCACATCAATTTCATTAAAAATGAATTCATTCAACTTATGTGTTTCTGCAGTCTATTGTCCGCCGAGGCACAATATAACCAGTTTCAATTTCAAGATTTTTTCTCTACACTAGGTAGTCATTTCATCGCCGGCGGAGACTACAACAGCAAACACGTCAATTGGGGCTCAAGATTAAATAATCCAAAGGAAAACAGCTATATGATACAATACATAAACTCAATTATAGTGTTCTTTCTTCAGGTTCCCCCACCTACTGGCGCGAGCGATCCTGCCAAAAAACCAGATCTATTGGACTTTTTTGTATCATCGGGTATAAGCTCAATTCACAAGGAAGTACGAGCAAGCTACGACTTATCATCTGACCATAGTCCAGTAATAGCCAGCATAAGCACTTCGGCAAGTATTTTTAAACCCTCCTCTAGGATCTGCAACCATAAAAACAAACTGGGACATCTACCGGAAGTTCGTAGAAGACAAAGTTAACCTCAAGTTAAACTTAAAAATTCGCTGATATCGAAAACACCATCGATTCCTTTAATACTCTTCTATACGATGCTGCAAAGTTTGCTACTCCTACTCTGTTACGACAGAAAACTCCTGCCAGACAACAACATATGAAATAAAAAGGCTCATAGCAGAAAAAAAGAAAAGCTAGGCGTAGGTGGCAACATAGTTCATTTGCATATGACAAAAAACATTTTCAATAATCTGAGCAACAAGTTTGAAAGCAAGGTTAAAGGAACTCAATCAAGTGAGATTTAATAACTATGTATCCAGTTTGAATCGTTTTGACAATTCTATCTGGAAACCCGTCAAAAATAAACTTAAACCTAACTTTCAAAATCCTCCAGTTCGCATGGATACCCAGACCTCTGCATGGGCAAGAAGTGACAAAGACAAAGCAGATATATTTGCGGAAT